AACTACAAATAATTTTCATGGGATTAATATTACCGGAATTATAACAATGTTTTATTGTTACTTAAAAAACTTGTATATTTCACTTAATAAAGAAACCTGGCAACAATGGCCAGTAAAAATTTTTAAGTTTAATACTTTTCCTATCCATAGCCTTTGGTTCCATCGAAGTCAGTTCATTAGGTCTTGAGATATTTCACTTTAAGGAATGGCTTAAACATGTCTCGTTACACAATAAGTTTTTACCTACTTACACAACCTGGCAACCCTGTCAAAATAAATTTTAAAATAGCTTTATATTTCCCCTGTATACAGCCTATAGTTTTATTCAAATCGGTTAACACTCGTTGCCGAGTTATGCCTTTTTAAAAATCCCACTTTATACCCGATTTCTGCAGGATGGCAACCCTGGAACGACCTCTGGTCAGCGCCATCTATTGAGCGACAAGATTTTTTAGTGACCAAAACAAAAATTGAGCCACCGATAGATGGCGCTGGATTTTAGGCCGAAAGACAGCATTGCCAGCATCAAAAATAAACATTTCTTAAGCGGCATTGCCAAACCAAATTTGCTAATTTAAAGCTAATTTATTGAAATTCAAATTGAATTTTAGCAAATTTAATGGCATTTGGAGAACTTTCATTGGAATTTTAGGATTTTTAAAAGCGATTGAAAATTAATTTTATTATTCTGAAGTGAATCGCTTTAAAATAACCTAATTATGGGTATAAAATAAAAACAAGAGTTTATTTTGGGCATTTTGAAATTATGCTTTATTCTATTTTTTACAAGTTTTAATTAATTTGAAAGATCTTTTGTTTTGTATAGAAATAGTTTAGAATGGTTTTAACTTAGATATTTTTGTATGTATATGGTAAATAAACTATAGTCTACTATAAACTTAACTATGGAATGGAGTCTTTTATAATAATTTTGAATAAAGATTTTTTCTTTTAATTATATTGCACTTAGTTAATTCTGTATTATAAAACAAAAATTGCGCTAATTATTTGGAATTTCTCTAATTCTTAATACTAAAATTTAAAACTAAAAATATGAAAATCATCACAGTTGCAAAAACTAACTCATTTCCATCTATTACCCATGGATTTAGAATTCTTACTTTGTTGGCTATTTTGGGCTTCTTCTTGAGCGGCTAACTCTTCATCCAGCAACAATTCAAAATTACCCAAAGCATCAGCACTGGGAATTTTATTCCAGCGGACACTGTAACAACAAACATAGGAAATATTTAGAAAATCTTTAATAATATGAAAGAGAACTCACTCTGGTATACCATCTGGCGGCAAAACGACCGATAATATATTATCTATTAATTTATATTTTAAAATGCGATCCGTTACGGTGGTGAAGTCAAAGAGGGTGAGGCATTCACTTCCACCAGCCAAGGCTTAAGATTGTTATCGATTATTATATCATAGCCATAGCATTCAAAACAATGTCGATCACTAGCCATTACTGGGGCCACGGCTCGTAGAGAATGTACAATTAGCCATGAAATGGCACCAAACAAGCGATCGGTAACCTCTTTTCCACGCGTGCCTTCTAAATATAGGGCTAAATTTTGTACTGACCATTTGCCGCCATGCAGTGAATTGTATTCACCCTAAAATAAAGGTTTACAATAAAATTTTGTTAATATTTTGATGTAAATAAAAATATTTGGTAAAACCATACAAAATTAAGAACAAATTTCAATTTCTCTCACTTTGGATTCTACAAAAGACTCGGATTTGAATGGGATTATTTTGAAATGTAATATAATAAATTAATGCCCTTCTGGCAGAAGAATTTATTCTTGCAATCCATTCGAAATTGATCGAATTTCATCATTAAAAGTTATTTAATAACTATTTCGCGAATTACATTTTTAACTTTCGAGCGAAACTTCAGTACGATTTCTTTATTAGTATGTATTAACAATTATCACCTCTTTCAACTTACCCCATGTTTCTGAACACTGACATTTGTTAAATGCACATACATATTGTCCAATTCCGTACAACTAGTATCATACTTCACCGTACAGAAACGACAAAATCCTTGCTTAAACAGATAAGCCTTCAAAGGACGAAATGAAGTAACTAAAACATACAAACGTAAATCAAATTTCTTGCCACCAATCAGCAGAGGATTATCGATGTAACGTGAAATGACATAACTTTCCTTAGCAATCTGCGGATGAAAGGCACCCTTAGCTTCACGAGACCATTTTTTCAGTTTCGAAAGTTTGTTGATTAAAAAAATGCCAGCACCTTGGGATTTGCCACAAGGTTTCATAATCCAAGTGCTTTGGGGATTTTTACGATATTCCTCCACAAACATGTTGTAATCTAAAAATAAATTTTATATAGAAGTTTATTATATATTTTGCCAATATTCTATTAAACTCACCTGCTGGTAAAACAAATGTAACGGGTATAAAATCTAAATATAAATATTTGGTTACCCCACCTACCGACCAATTTAAATCGGACTTCTCAGCCAAAGCATTGCCATCTCTTTCCAAATCTTTGCGATAACGTTTGATGTTCTTTACCAAAAGATCTTTACGCGATAGTTCATAGTGATTTGGAAAATGATTAATCATTTGATTGTCATTCATGCGATAACCACTGTCTACACTGAAGATATTACGACATGTCTGCACACCAGCCCAATAAAAATTCCAATCATCATCGCCACCAACTTGATGCCAGCCACGTTTTTCAAAATTATTCACCAAAACCGACTTATCAAAATCGGTGCAAAAGTATACCTTCATGCGTTCATGACCCATGTTATTGCTGACTCTAAAATGTTTAGTTTTTAAATGAATATTTTTTCCATTACGTTTCAATATTACTCCATTGCAATTTTCTTTGCATTTGCAAATTACCTTCCATACATACTGGAATAGGTGGCATTTAACCTTTTTGCAGCACCACCTGTTTCTTGAGCCATTTGTAAAAGTTTTTAATTAGTTTTGTTGTTGTAAATTGTGTAAAGTTTTTAATCTTAAATATGACGTCTTTCAATAAATAAACTTCTTAATGCTCGTTTACATTTGTTATCCTTCAATTTTTCTGCTGCCTTTCGTTTTAACGTTTTTTCGATTCTACTTCAACTTGTGGCATTTATTGAACCAACAAAATCAGTTGTAAACTTTTTAGGTTTCATGTGACGATGGTAAATTTGTTTTTGGTTACCAGGGAGATTGTGCTGCCGCTTGTTGCTTCTATGTAAACAATTTTTTGTCGTTACAATTTTGGATTATACTGCTGATATTGGTGACATGTATTGTAAATCCTAAAGAAATCAATATTTGTTTACTATGAAATATATTCGAAAATTATTTAGTTAAATTCGACAAAATTAGAAAGGAAATTAAATTAATTCGAGGAAATTATTTAATCGTCAGGGTTGTTTATTTAGATTATTGTTTTGTCATAATAAAAATAATATTTGGGTTCATTCCATAATATAACTATAATAATAGTTGTATCATGGGATCATTCTTTAAAAACTCAAGATGTTTCATTTTCAAATTTTAACTCTTTAATATAAATAGATTGAGAACAGAAAACAGCAAATTGTTGAAGAATAATACAAATATGGTGCATCTGTTCCGACTAATTATATTTAACTTCAACTGAATTGAAGAATTCAAGAAGGCCGGATCTATTGGTAACTTAAAAATAATGTTGTTTAAATGTCGATATTAAATCAATGCGAACAAATGCTGATAAAAGTCCAGGGAAATCAAGAACTGAACTTGTAAAATTACGTCCCGATAAGCATTACCATTTATTGTGTACTTTAGATCAAACATGTTGCGTTCATATGGAGATCCCGAAAAAAGTATTCATTGCAATAGACAGTGAGTGAGACCTTATGAGTCTCACCTGGAATTTTTTGTATCAAATATTCATTCATAGCGTGGTTGGAGCACTTTCAATTCAAAATAACATTTTTAAACCAAAAAGCTTTACAGCTTAAAAAGTTTTCTAAGATAAAAGCTTTGCAAAAAGCTTATTACCCTCGATCATATGTAAGAAAAATTTTTCACCGACTAGAAAAACAAAATGTTTATATCAACAACAACGAAGATCAGTAGTAAATTTTCACAAGCTGACAACAATTGAAACCGGTGAAACGAAAAACAAATAGAAAGATCACTGACTAAGTTATGCAAAAGAAAATTTAATTAAGAAAATTATTTATAAAATAAAGTGATCAATTTTCCGTGTGTAAATTTTGTAAACAACAAAATAAAATAAATCTAATATAAACCATTTATAATGGATTTATTGTTCCTAAGTAAACGTATTTATTTGGGCACCGAAGATGGATTTATACATGGTGGCATAATCGTCAACAATGAGGGAATAATACAAAAGGTTTTGAGAACAGCTGGGGAGGTTAATACATATTTGTATAATATAGAATCGGAGGCGGTAAGTGCAAACATTTTGTGCCTAATTGTGTTTGTTAATATTACTAATTTTTGTCTCATAGGTGTATGACTTTGAAAATTTGGTTTTAATGCCGGGTCTTATAGATGTCAATGTACATATCAATGAACCAGGTCGTAAAGATTGGGAAGGATTTTTAACCGCCACAAAAGCAGCTGCAGCAGGCGGTTTTACCACCATCATAGACAGGCCAACGTAAATATAATAAAGTTTTCCCATAAATATTTGTTGTTTTTAACAATTTCTTCTTTATTTATAGAAATGCTATACCTCCCACCACTTCCTTGGCCGGTTTAAAATTAAAATTATCCACGGCTCGTGGCAAAATTTATGTTGATGTTGGTTTTTGGGGCGGTATTATACCCGGCAATTCTGATGATATCGAGGCTTTAATCGGTGGTGGTGTGGTTGGCCTACAATGTTCACTCTCGCCAGCCGCCGAACCTGTTAGCAAAGAATTTCCTGCTGTTAATAAACAACAATTGGACACTCTTCTTACTAAACTAGACAATAATATTGTTATAGCCGTTCATGCTGAAGAAATGTTGATGACACCCATTAAACCTAACGAAGAAGAACCCAAATGTTATGAATCATTTTTGAGAACTAGACCTTCTCGAATGGAAGTTAATGCAGTACAAATTGTAGCCGATCTTGCCTTGAGGCATAAAAAGTAAGTAAAACAAGTTTTAAGAATATCTAGAACCCAAAATCTTTTCTATATATTTCCAGAAAACAATTTCATTTATTAAATCTCAGTTCCAATGAAGTCCTGCCTATTATAAAAGAAGCCAAAAGTAAAGGAGCTCAACTCACTGCCGAAACATGTCCCCACTATCTCAGCTTAGCAGCCGAAGACATAGAAGACTGCCACACAGAATTCAAAACTCAACCACCGATACGTGAAAGAGCAAATCAACCCGCTCTCTGGGAAGCTTTAAAGTCGGGATGTTTGGATATTATAGCATCAGATCATTCGCCCGCAACACCGGGTCCCAAATGTTTAACATATGGTCGTACGAGGGGTAATTTTATAAATGCCTGGCCAGGTATTTCTTCCCTGCAATTAGGTCTACCCATAGTTTGGACTCAATGTCAGAAGTATGGTTTGGGCATACAACACATTTACAAAACCATGTGTGAGAGACCAGCTTTATTGTGCGGCTTAGAAAAGTCGAAGGGTAAAATTGTAGAGGGTTATGATGCCGACTTTTGTATTTGGGATCCCGATGAAGAATTTCAAGTTGATGCCAATGTATTGTATTCATCGAATAAGGTAAATAATTTATTATCTTTAATTTATTTAAATATTCAAAGAATTTATATGGGCTTAACCTATTACAGGCCACTCCTTATGTCAATCAACGTTTGCGCGGTATGGTGCATGCTACCGTTGTAAGAGGTCTGCATGTCTATCAACAGCATGAGGGATTTGGCCAGCCTTTGGGAAAAATTATTTTGCGTAAAAATATCAAGAAAATTGTTAAGTTTCAATAGAATCATTGTAAAAGAAGGGTCACATGCAAAATGACAAAACCATAAGATGTTAATTTTACACTGTGAAAAAAAAGACTAAATTAAAATTAAATTTGAATTCGGGAATAAAAATATTTAATTGTTTCGTTTGATAAAAGAATACATATAAGCACAAAAATAATAAATATTTACAAAGTTTCGACAGTTTTTTCTTCATGTGTAACATAATTTATGTTGATTGAGATGCAACAAGTTGTCGTGTGGCAAACAAACAGTGCAAACTCCATGTCAATTTGTTTGTTTTCAGTTGCAAATAAATTGTTTCATAGTCAACCGCAAAATAAATATACATATGTACATACATATGTATGTATGTATAAATAAACATACACTCGTAAGCAGGGACCGTAACCGTTATGATTTTTATAATAAAAATCCAAAAATAATTATTATTTTTGATTTTTATTTTTATTTGGCAGAAATAATAATTATTTTTCGATTTTAATTTTTTCAGGCAGAAATAAAAATCAATTTTTGATTTTTATTTTTTCTGGCAGAAATAATAATTATTCTGGATTTTTATTTTTTTGGCAGAAATAAAAATCAATTTATTCTAATAAACATGTAGTATGTATGTACCAATCATCATGTATGTATGTATGTATGTATGTAGGTATGTACATATGCATTATAAACGGAAAATATTACAATAAACTGATTTTTATTTCTGCCAAAAAAATAAAAATCAAAAAAAATTTTTATTTCTGCCCAAAAAAAAATAAAAATCAAAAAATAATTATTATTTTTTGCCAAAAAAATAAAAATCAAAAATTTAAAAATCATATCGTTTTATAAAAATATAGCTCAAACCAATAAAAATGGTATGTTTGAATTTGTTTTCCGATATTTTATTGTATTTGATTTTTTTCTATAAAAAATTCAAAAATAATTATTATTTACGATCCCTGCTCGTAAGTATTAAGTACAAGGGAAAACTGAAAATTATTTTAAAATTAAAATTTTATTGAAAACTTGATTGTTTAATTAAAACGGGAGCCATATTACAGCACTCGCTATAGATCGAAATATCTATATTTGAACGAAATATGGATTTTTTTATTCTTTAAATTTTGAAGAATGTTAAGTATGGTTTTATTAAAAACATTGCTAATAATGTTTAAAGTATTTTTCAGTTTGCCCTTATGAAATAAACAAATGAATCGTATCATAGCCTCATATTAAGATGTTGTCAATTGAAGAATAACACATGCTGTGTTTTCTTGTGTTTATGTATCTATATTGCGGTTTTAGCACATAAACTCATACACGACTGACATTTAAAGTTCATATTCAAATCCGATTTAATCTACAAAGATTCTTAACAAGATGAAAATGTCAAATGCTTAAGGAGTTTTATGAAAATATGCAAAAATGTCAATAGCAGTCAAGGATTTTTTCCTTCTGAATTTGGCAGTTTCGACTAAAGTCAGTGGGAATTCAACAATGTAAACAAATTTGCAATTCACTTTTATGTTTCCTGCTGTAAATAATGTGCATATGCGGAAAAAACATGCAACTCAACTCTAGTCCTGGGTGACGTATAATTATTTATTAACAAATATTAATACATATCACTTATACGATTCCAAATAAATAGCCTTTAAACTTTAATAAAATCTCATTTCTCTTTCTTTTTAGCTTGATAAAATAAAAAACAAATTGCAATAGAAAAGCTTTCACTTTTATTTTATCTCACTTTTAAAGTTTAAATTTATAAAAGCTCACTTTTTACTTGTTTCAAATGATTTATCAACATACTACGTATTAAAAACAAAATCATATGTTAAATACATGTATGTATGTATTTAGCAGGTGCTACCACAAAATAATGATAAAAACAAAACGTAATAAGAAAGAGTACAACTATTTAAAAACAACAACAACAATGTTAACTCAAAAAAATGGCAAAAATAATGAAATACAAAATATGAAATGATAAATATATTAATAAACAGAATAAATACAACAAAAAGCCTAAAATATTGATAAAAAATATATTAAAAAAGAGAGAGTGTAATAATGGTGAGTTTTTGTGGGTAAAAATGAAAAATTGATAAAACAAACAATTACAATGACAACAGTTGTATTCGAAATACAGTCATACGTAATAAACTTAAGATACGAAATAAAAGAAATGTATTTATTATTATTGTTATTGTAGTCAACATACATACTAGTACATTAAGTACATATACATATGAATATATACAAGTAGTGAGTAAATGTACCAGTGTTGCGCGAAATCGAAAGCATTCAAATTTCACAAACCAAATTCAAAAATTGTACTATTTCGATTATAGTAATAACAAAAGAACAATTTAAGACTGTTGTAGCTAGCGTAATCGTTAAAAAAATTGGTAATGATTTTTTACTTACACAGCACCTTACTTTTCAATGACTACTATATAACGTCTACATTACTTTTAAGTACTGTAATAATGATTAACATATAGTCATACACATACGTTGGTACTGGTTTTACAACTGATATTAGGTTTTACTACTTTTTAACTCCCGAGCGAGCGTGGTAAGTACTTGTCTATAGTGATATTGCCGTATTAATGTAATGAGTTAAAATGCCAGTGAATAAGAGGTATTGAAAACATTGTATCTAGAGCTCTATAGGGGTTTTCATTAAGAACAATGTATTTTGTTTTGGTCATTTCTTGAATAGGAGTGAAGTTTTCTTCGCAATTATTTAACGGCATCAAACGTCAGTCTTATGTCATTTAATCATGGAGGGGTTAACTCATTAAGAATGTTTGCAAATTATTAAATTTATTAGCTGAATATGGACTTAATCTTTATAAGCCGATTTGTTATTTGCTACGATTTGTTAATTTATTAGTTTCATGCTGAATTTTATTCTCTATTTTATTCTATGTATCAACATCGGGGTGAAGTTTAGAATAGGGCTTTTAATGAGGGCCTGGCACAACGATGTACCGAACTCTACATAACTTTAAAATGATTTATTGACAATAAACTTTCTGTAAATTATCATAAAATTTGGGAGTTCCTATATAAATAGTTAAGTCAAATACTGGCATTTTAAAGTATGAGCCGATCCTCAGAAAAATTTGTAGATAGAATGAGTGATAAAACTTGTTAGTATAAAAATTTCATCACTATGAAGCTTAAAATCATTTCCTGAAAGCGACCTTGCTATATATGGGAAATGGAGTCAAATAAGGCAAGGCTTCTGCCATACTTTACAATATTATTTCTGGCTATATAAAAGTTACTAGTGCAAAATTGCATTTGAGCTAGATGAAATCGTACCGATATTGCTCATTTTTAATACCAAACAAACCATTCAACGCATTAGTTCCTCTCGTGTGGGCCGTATCGATCTTTCAACAGATAGATAGACGGGCATGGCTAGATCGTCTTAAAATTTAATAAGGAACCAGAATATGTTCATACATACATAAAACACACTATTAATAAAATGTCTGCTTTAGTAGTGACCACATTTTTAAATCATTCTTTATCACTCTAAATAGTACCTAAAGGTACAATTGTACCAAAATTTGCATACCTAGATTTTATATTTAAATAGGTGCTATTGAGAAAGTAGTTGATTACGTATGTATGTATAATGAAAAAAGAGAAAGAGGTAAAGAGCAAAGAAATGAGTGTCAAAACATTTTAGTGTGATAGTAACAAATTCCTTATGAAATAAACAAAAAAAATATACATATAAATAATAAATATAAATTTTTAGTTTCTGTATAGTCAAGAATTTTTAGTGTTAAAATATTTTTTAACAAAAAATTATTAGAAATAAAATATACTGTATTAAAAATACTAATGTACATTGTACAATGAATATAAATACACTTAATAAACGGGTAAATAAATAATGTAAATAATATTGCAAAATATTTTTTGACGTGGCGTGGATCAATACAATACAAATTTAGAATTAATATTTGTATAATGTGTAAAAACAAAACAAAAAACAAGTAAAAAGAATTAAATTATTTCGTACCTGAGTAAGCAAAAAAAAAATCATCATACAAAAAATTTATTTAAAAAACACATTGTTACGTGCATAAAATTGAGGTAGAATAAGAACGAAAGCAACAACAATATAATACATACTACCACAAGAACAACAACAGCAACAATAACACAAAAAACTATCTTAATTACGAAATCAATGTTGTTTTGTTATTGTAAAAGCAACGTAATGTGGAAAAATTCGCACACATTTTTTGTTTCTTCTTTTTGTTGTCGATTTGTTTGTTTGTCGTCTAAATTCTATCTACTATCGTGTCATTATTATTTGAATGTCTGAGTATGAGTTTGAATATGAACGAGAATATTGAGATATGACGATGACATACATACTTGTTTAATTTATACTTATTTCGTTAAATATATTCAATTCGAATTATTGTTGCTGTTCATTTTATACAAACATTGTGTCCTCATCATCATCATCACCAGAACCATCATCACCACCATCATTACTAATGTGTGTCGTAGAATAATGTAGTTGTCTTCGTTCGTAGTCTTGGTTGTGGTAGTCATAAATAGCAAATCTAGCCATAATGTTATCATCGTAAGAGCTTATTCATACAACCATAAACACAGAGATACAAATACAATATTGTAGTAGTCATAGTCGGGCACAGTGGGTTGTAATTGGCTCATATATAAATTTGCCAAACAAAATTTGCATTGCTAGTCCTTTTTCTTAATTTTTAATAACATGTAGAACAATTAGCACAACTAACTCTCTTAAGAATATAGGCTTATTCTAAAGCAACAATATATAAAGATACGTACAACAAATCTAATCTAAGCAACGATCAATATCACAAATACACAAATTCTTCTCCAATAAAAAGTTAGGTCATCTAAAAAGTCCCAATATAAAATTTTGATAATTTTGAATATTCTTGAAAAAAATATAGACTCAGAGGACTATGGGATCTAAAAAACGTTTTTTGAAAGAATTATATTCTCTATCTATTTAACAACAAGTGAGAATATGTGAGGGTTATGAATTCCCATTAGTGCACATCATATGTATGTACCCTGCGGTTCTACAAAGAATCAATGCATCCGAAAAAGACTCGAATTCGTCTTCCGTCTCGGATGTACTCTTTGTAAACGAGGGTGAAGATAATTGTCACTTTAGTGGCCTCTTTGTAAGTGAGATTGGGGACACTTAAAAAACAAGCATAAGCCTTTTGTCTGTCTCCTCGTAATCAATAGGGTGACGATTGGCTTCCTCGTAGGACAAGCACATGTTAAAATAGGTAGTCATCTGGACAGTCGGTGGATAGCAGTATCCCTAAGTGGTATGTAGTTCGGAACTTGTCCTTCTAATCATAACGTTTATTCCAATGCATCACATCACCTTAACTTTTGTGGAATATTTATGTAGCGTAGTTGATCTATTCCGATCAAGACTTCATTTAAAGCATGGGATTCCCTGCATATCGCCCAATAACTGTGGAATTTATTGATCGTCTCCTCTAAATTTTATTTTAATTATTGTTTGTGGTCCAGAATGTGTCCTAAGTATATTTTCTTTGTTATTTTTAGTTCGAGTTTATATTGGGTTCTTTTGGACGATCCCAGTTCAGAGATATGTACATATGTATGTAAGTATAGATACTCAAGGCTCCACTTATAGCTTTGTTAAAACATAAAGTGGTCTAAGATGTAATGAATCATCGTATCAATCGAGTTAAAGTTGTTAGTCGCTTTAGATCCTTAGAATATTATGAATTCTAATCATCAGTATAATAGATGATACTATGCTCTTATGTGACGTAGTATGTTCTATATGTATGTTATGTTTATCTCTTATGATCCGAAATTTACCCAACTATATTCGTCATGCTGCCCTAACTACCAATTTGAGTCTAGCCATATAATTTGTAACTCCTTTCGAAGCAAATTCATTAAAAATTATATGTTATATACAGTAACTTTCAAAAATAGAAACATTCTTGCTGTTCCAGTAGGAAAGTGAGTTATATTCGCACATATGTAAATAATAAGATCGTCTTAGAGTTTTAGAGAACAGGTAAAATATACTATTCGTAATTTGTAACAAAGTGAACCACTGTAAGTATACGTATTTTATACATTGAGTATACGTACCAAGGTATGTGTTCGTGAGTAAATTCTACGGATTGTACTCATCATATGTGTGTACGAATGTGTTTATTATTTTGTACTGTTGCTCATTCTACTAGTAATCGTCTTGGTCTTCGTTTATTTTACATACTCACACACATACATATGTACATGAATATGTAATCGTACAAAGTATTGTTGTTGCTGTTGAGCTTTTACTAGCAGGCATTCGTCGTCAGTCCGCATAACACACAATCATCAGTTTATTGGGTCTGCCTTTCGTCGTTGTGTTGTCATCAAATTTTAGTCTACTACGTAAAGTAGCCGCTGTGAGTAACGAACGCGCTCTGGCTTTTAACCAAATAAGAAAAAAATCTATATAATAAATAAATAAAATAAAACCTATAATACATACTATCATCATCATAATAACAAAGCAAAAACAAAATAATAATAGAATCCACCATCTACGAAAAATAGCGCGCCAATTAAATAACAAAATACCGACAAATAGAAAAATAAACAACTGATTATTTCAAAATTTGTTTTTAAAGAAAAAAATATTTAACGAAATTGTGAGTGTAAAATTTTATATAAATAAAAAATTATAAAAATTTATTTTTATTGAAAAAAAAAATTGATCTAAAAAACAAAATATATAAGTTAAATTTTAAAAGCAACAACTACATTGTTGTTGCTGTTGAATATTTTTAACCAAAAAAAAAAGAAAGAAGCAAAACAAACAACAACAATAATAAGCAATCAAATAATAATCTTGACGTAATCGCCGCAAAAATATTTAACGACGTCGCCAAAACGTCGACAAACGCGACAAAAGATAAACGAAACAAACCAACAACAACAATAACAATAGCAACAATAATAATATTGTACGAGTACGTAGATAAATACGAGTACAAAACATTCAAAAACCCATCACCAAACCGATTGGCGGTATAAAATTACGTTGAGAGGAATAAAGTTGTAGAGCCGATCAAAGTGGAATAAATAAAAAATAAAATTATATAGAAATGATCAGTAAGCCTTATCTACATACAAACATACACATATGCATATGTTTTCTATAGATGTATGTATGAATCTATATACATATGTATGTGTGCATAGAATCATACATACTTACTTACGTATTTATTTTAATAAACCACCATCATCATACATACGTCGTAGCAGATATTAAACAAAAATAAGTATATAGTACTTTTTATTTAAAACCCACCGCCAAATACATATATGAAGGATATATAAATTTTGTCATCCCGTTTGTAACACATTAACCGATATCGGTTGTAGACCCCATTAAGTACGATCTTGCTATATATGTCTGTCTATCTGTCTGTTACGACATGATAGGTTCAAGAGGAAATTTTGCTGTATGAAATTTTCTGTCATGATCAGCAATATTTTTATTGAAAGTTGTCAAAATCGTTCACACAGAAACCAAATTTAGAATAGATTATAAAATAGTAGAATTCCGAAAACATAGTTGCAAAATCTTGAAAAGCTGAAATTTTGAGAAACAATTTTTATTAAAATTAATAGGTACTTGTAAAAATGTTTAATAAAAAATTATGAAAATCATCGATATTCTCAGTTAAAATTTTTTAAAAAATATCCTAATTTTTATGTATTCTGACGAACCGTTAAAGGTTTATTTTTATTAAGACCATTTTCAATATATTTTATTATTTCGTTTATAATTCGATTTTGTTTCTAGGTTTTATTCTCTTTAAGTAACATCTATAAATTCATGTATTAATTATTATTTTATTAAAGTTACAAGAAAATTAAATATTATCCCTTTAGTTCAACAACTGACTACTGTCCTTGAACTAGACATTATAATATTCAACCATTTCCTTCCCACTTGTATTACAATAAACACGAGAAAATACAAAAAAGTGTCAATTTACTGTGTGACGTTAACTTCAACGTCCATTTATTTAACATTTAACGACAGAGCAAAAGTTAACACATACATATCAACAAAAGTGAAATGTTTAATGTATGCATCCATACATTAGGAAGTACAAAATTTCAATATGTCGTCATCTTATGTGCAACAACTTTTCCAGAAAGCCAAGAAAAGTTTTTTACAAAATTCTGAAATCATATACTCAATATGAAAATTAAAACAGAGATCTAGACTATAGACTAGACTATAAACTAGACTATAAACTAAACTATACACTAGACTATAGACTAGACTATAGACTAGACTATAGACTAGACTATAGACTAGACTATAGACTAGACTATAGACTAGACTATGGACTAGACTAGACTAGACTATAGACTAGACTAGACTAGACTATAGACTAGACTATAGACTAGACTATAGACTAGACTATAGACTAGACTATAGACTAGACTATAGACTAGACTATAGACTAGACTATAGACTAGACTATAGACTAGACTATAGACTAGACTATAGACTAGACTATAGACTAGACTATAGACTAGACTATAGACTAGACTATAGACTAGACTATAGACTAGACTATAGACTAGACTATAGACTAGACTATAGACTAGACTATAGACTAGACTATAGACTAGACTATAGACTAGACTATAGACTAGACTATAGACTAGACTATAGACTAGACTATAGACTAGACTATAGACTAGACTATAGACTAGACTATAGACTAGACTATAGACTAGACTATAGACTAGACTATAGACTAGACTATAGACTAGACTATAGACTAGACTATAGACTAGACTATAGACTAGACTATAGACTAGACTATAGACTAAGTGAAACCTAGAACTCGAAGAGTCTAACACTATCGGATTTGTCATAGAAATTTTTTAGAAATTTTTCTTTGGGATTCTCCCTAGGTTATTCTAAACTTCTAACGTTCTCCACAGGCTTAATTATATAGAATTCAAATTCAAAACATGAAGATTCAGACAATCTAATAAAGTTGACTTTTTAATGAATTTTTGTAAGAGTTCTAGAACAAGAGGGTATCGTATTAAAGGTATACAAAAAATCGATCGTATGGTAAGGTATCTATGTATATATCTCCGAACAGAAAGTATACAGAGTAAGACCCTTGGTATTTCCAAAATTTTGAGATCTTCTTCAACTTATATATTTAAGATGTTTCAATCTAATATTATTCTATTTATGTATCATTATAAAGCTTACTCAAAAAGCTTAAACCATGTATCCACAAAATATTTTCGTCCATTGAAAGGTTAAAGTGAGTTCAACCATCAATGATATTTGTTGATTTGAAGTAATTGTGCAATTTTTAGTTTTAAATTTTTACTCTATTATTATTAATCATTAAATAGTTAAAAGTATATACATAGCTAAATTGTTTTTATTTTATTTTTTCATTATATTGACTATAACAACTGAACAATACAAAGAACTTTGCTTTTAATTAAATGTCAATTCGTCTGGCACTTTTAAATGACGTATGTACGACCGTTAAATGCAGCAAGCACCCCGGTGCAATGCAACGTAGTGTGTTGTATGAATAATATGTCTTCTGTTCGTTCTACGACTACAAAAGCTAACAGAGCTAGCAATAATTAAAAAAAAAGAACAACTAAATAAAAATATTTACGATTTTATACATTTACAATTATAATGCTTGCATACATACATACATTCATAACAGTATATGATTATATGCCGCCATTTAATATGAGGTGTTTTTTATGTATTTTTTTATTGAAGGAAAAGGGTAATGAATGCACTAAAGTTTGCAATAGAATAAGAACTAAAAGTCAAATTGTTGCCCGAGTTTCTCAAGCTGGAAAGTAAAAATAATATTTTGTTGATATGATACCTATTAAGACAAGACTTTTATTGTAATTACCGGCAACAGTAGTTTTATTTAAAACACCACAAATCTAACGGACTTAAGTTAAAAGTTTCAGGAGATTTCAAATAACATTTATTAATTAGGAACCCTCTTTGAAGTTTGTTTTCATAGATATGTACTTAGAATATACTAATTCATTTACTTGGTAAGTTTCTTTCTATAAACCTAACAATATTAAACCGACCTCAACAATATGAACGAGAACGTTAATTAAGGAGTGTAATGTATAAGATTTACATACATTAGATCTGTGCAAAAAAACAATAAAACTTTTATATATGAGAGGTAGGATCAATTATGGGTCGGTCCTCATAAAATGTAGAGCGATTTTTTTCATATAAAACCTATTTATATTGATATTAATAGCTGTACTGCATTTTTAAACCAGTAATTAGCGTTAAAGTAATTTTCTGAAGGGACCTTGTATGGGGGAAGTGTGAGTTACCGCCCTCTATTACTTTCTTAGCAACGATCGTTACAGCAACTTTTTTGAAGGGGACCTTATACGGAGGGTAGGGTTAATTATTGACCGATCTTCTTAAACTTCCGCAGAGAGATTTTGCCTCGCACCGCCCTTATATGGGCGGTAAGGTTATTTATGGGCCGATCCTCATAAAATTTGGCAGAAATAAAAATCAAAATACCAACAAGCCTTTTAATAATACTAAACGGGGAAACTTACATATAAGTGAACCGATATTCAGTAGAACTTATTTTTGTTGAATATCATCAGCTTACGAATTTTCACAAATATAAAAGTGATGTTCGAAGAAGGACTTATATAGGCTAGGGTCCATTACAAACTGATTCTCACTCACATTTATAGATAAGTTTCCAATTACATTATTTGTGTTGATTATATATATACATATATTTGAGAACTTCTGACAGGATAGTTGAATTCAATCTCTAACATATTTATAAGCCTACGTATGTATTTCGAAATGAAGTTTGTACGGATTAAATTAAAGGGATGAACAATTATTAGCTTTGGTTGTTTATTTAATTTAATTACAGAAAAACAACTGTTTTGCATAAAATTAATGTTATTTAAAATTATATGTGCATTTTTTTATTTTACACTGTAATTAAAGCAATACAAAAAGTGTTTGTACAAAAAAGCAACAAAACAACGACGTAATCACCTTGCAGTATTTCAGTTATAAACACATTCATTTGTTTAGACGAAATAACAAATTTTGAATGAAATTTTAACAAAATTTTATGTGCATATTTTTATTTTGTGTTTTTTGCTAAAATAAAAACCTCATGGATATGAAAATGAATGAATACTTAGTTCTTTTTTTCTTTCCTATTTTTTTTTTGTTGTATGTGTACCAATGATTGACGTTATTTTAGTTGATTTGTGATAAACATTTCTGTATCTTTTTCAAATGGATTTTACGTAGTTAAATATACCAAAGAGATTTATATAACATTTGGTTAAATTTAACTGAATGTTTAATGTGTTTCGTATAACTAAAAGTATGAGTGAATTTAGATGTTTGATTATACAAACTATATGTATATAACTTACTGATGAAAAGATGTTTAGAAGCAATTCCCCGATCGGTCTAGTATTTATAGTTGTTATGCTGTTTTAAAATTACGAACTTCAAACATATTTAAGAGTAGTTTCTTCAAAAATTATCCGAAATTTGCAATAGGAAAAGTAACGTTTTTTTTTTTTTTGTATAATTATT